ACCTGTCTTGTTGAGGGGACAAAGCTGACAGGAGACAACGGGGAAAGGCAGAGCACTACTCGCCCTACATGAGGCCAGTATTTCATGCCTTTGTCATAGGGTGCTTTTTGCCTCTGGAAAAAAAAGCAAGGCATGATACCTGATTTTCACCACAAAACACCAGGAGCTGCTTCCCGAGTGCTTCCTCTCACAGCAAATCCATGGGTGCCAATTTCTACTGACTTCTTATACTCATGTCATAGTTTTGGTGGAAAACCTGTAATCTCACAAGGCTGAGAGCTGTGTAAAGCAGAAGGAGGAACTATCTTACAACAGCATCAATTTATCCAGTCTGAACTATTCATTATAAAAATATTACATGCTAATTTCTACTAATAGGGCAAATATGAAAGCCAAAGAATCCCCTGGTAGTTCAAGGAATTTCCTTTGCATAGCATGTAGGATTGGGAGACAATTACATATTATTTGTTTGCTTTTACTGGCTTATGTCCTGTATGTGAAAGTGTGGTTTAAGAAAGGTCAAACATAGATACTACTCAGAAGTTGCTTGGATAAGAGGAAGGTATACAAACAGCGTTGCTTTGATAAAGTGGAAGTCCACAAAGAAAGCTATTAAGAACATGCAGGGAACTGATGCAAGCCTAAAGGAAACTATGGGAACAAAAAACGAGACACAGGAAGAAATGGGATCTTTGAACAAATTTAGTTAAACTATATATATGTGAGCAACTCTTCTGGAAGAGTGTGTGCAGGCCACTTGGTGTAATTCATGCAGAATTCAGGGTACAGAAATGCATAATGCTGGTACTCTGCTGCTTCTACAAAAGGCTTGGGTGGTCAGGCACAGAACGACCTCGCCTCTTCCATCCTTCTTGCCTCCATCCAAAATAAGCAGAATGCAATATTCAATACAGGAAGAACCAAGGAATTATAAACACATCAACAAGGACAGGAGAATATTGGGACAATAACTTAAAATTTACAGGAAGTTGCACAAATTTTCCCCAGAGGTGGGTGGTGGTATGGGGAGGTGTGTTTTTGCACATTTTTGCAATACATTATTCTGGTCACTCACATCCCTGCTTTGTTATTTAAAATCAAATTGTCATAGTGTTCATAGCTTTAAAATGGAAACACAGATTTACACATGCAAAAGTCAGCTGAGCACAAAGCCAGTTAGCATCACTACACACCTGAGTAAGGTAGCAGAGTAGAAGATTTCCACTTTGACCTGGGCTCTGCCCATCACTCATCAGATCTCAGGCTTTTCCCCACCACCACCACCTAACTTTTTGAAAGTAGTAAGACTACAAGTAGTTTAAATTCTTTAAGTGCCACTTAGAAGTTAACATTGTTTGTCCATGACTGAACTGTGCAAAGAGACAGTAATGGGTACAAGGCTGTTGAAAACAGTTTACATTAGGTTTGTTTTTGGTTTTTTTGTGCTTAGCCTGAGCAGATCTTTGAGACTTTTGATTGCCCCCATTATTTACTGGGAGTGTTTTGGAGGTGATATGAAGCACTTATCACACCACACAACCCTTTGCGAAATGATACATATAGCAGCCTGTAGCAGCCGTTTCATAAAGAGTCTGTGTTAATACTTCACTGCACTTGTTACAGAGCAGGAGAAACACGGAAGTTAAGGGGAAAAATTCCTCGACTCTAAGGAAGCAAACAGACTCAATCTTCTCCTAGCTCAAGTGACATGACAAAGCCTTGACTAATAAACTAGTACTCCACATTAAGTCAAATCAAAGCTAATTAGATGTGTCCATGCAGGGGTCTGCACCAGTTTAACTAAGCACATTTTGATTTTGATTAAACCAGTACAATCTGCATTTAGACAAGGCCTTCAGTAGAGTGTTCATCCTGGACAATGGTTTGAATAATAGCGAAAAAGAAAATATGCACAGTTCTGGCAAGCGTAGCATCTCTCATATATAGGCACTGTCAGAAAACCAACATCAAACAGCCACTACTGGGAAAAGAAATTGGTCATGGACTACTGCTGATCTGGCTCTTAAAAATCCAGGGAGGTTGCATCCATGATAGGAACTGGAAAGGTGTTCTGGACTTATTGTGCATGTAAACACAGTCCATCCTCCTGGTCCAACAATAGCATCCATGAGCAGGCTATGTAGAGCTCTTGTAACCAGAGTACAGGCAGATGACACTGCTTTTGAAGGGTTTATGTGCATCCCTTTGAAGAGTGATTTTGCCCAGCTCCAGAATTTGACCTAACATTTTCAATGTTTGTTAAAATACCTCAACTCCAACCAAACATTTCAGATGGACATACTAGATCAGGAGTTCTCAAACTGGGGGTTGTGAGGTTATTACATGGGGGGTCACGAGCTGTCAGCCTCCACCCCAAACCCCACTTTGGATCCAGCATTTATAATGATGTTAAATATTTTTTAAAAGTGTTTTTAATTTATAGGGTGGGGGTGTCACACTCAGAGGCTTGCTATTTGAAAGGGGTCACCAGTACAAAAGTTTGAGAACAACTGTACCAGAGAATGCTAGTAATTAAGTCAGTGCTTCTCAACTTTGAGCACTGCCATGGCAGGAGGGCATAAGGGAAGAGGATAAAAGCAATGGAGACAGAGAGAGATACCTGATCTTAAATCTCCTGTCGCTACTAAAAACATACTCCAAAAGCTGCATTTCCTTGAATGTCACCTGCCTTCCTTCCCTGTTATCTCAGCAGCTCCTAATCCAGCTGGCCAAAGAAGCAGCACACATGTATATGAATGTAGGTTCAGGCAATAATCCTTGCAACCTGTTTCTCTTCTCCTGTAGTACGCAGCTCAGCCACAAGAGCACATGAGACCACAGACATCTCAAGAAGCATATTGGTGATAGGGAAGTCAGTAAAAGCACGGAAGCAAAATAAAGAATAGCAAAAGAGACTTTAAGTGAGAGCAACAAGGGTGGGGGGGGAGAAAATAATGGAAAAGGAATAGATAGAAAATGGAGAAAGAATTGAGCAAAAGAAGGGTCATATGGTGACAACGATGCTGACACTTGGGAAGAGGGACAGAAGGGAATTTCTTCCCACCAATCCACCACAAGGACTACTTCAACAAAAAAGAATGGAACCACTAACTTAAATGGCCCCATGCAGGCATTTGCTGTTGCTATTGTCTAACTGGAGATAGTTTTAGCAAAACTGAGTTAAAGTAGACTGCTTAGCTAATTATTTTATGCCATACAAAATTAGGTTCAGTTTTATTTTTAAAAACTCTTCTGCTTGGTTTTTTACATTAACAATACCAGGATGTCACTTACCCCTTTTTACTGAAGAACTTTGACAAGCTCTTTAGAGGACATCATAGGAGACTGAAACAAGTTAAAGCTCTCCCATATCCTAACTAGAGGGACAATACACACACACACACACACGCACAGTTCCTTTTCCATTGGTACTTTAAATAAATATGTACAATATGCACAAAGACCACATATCTAGACACTATGCTAAAAGTGTGAAGAGAAAAAAGTTACAGCTCCCAAAGTTTAATTAACACATTAGCGCTAGCTTCCCACTACATCTTCTCCACATCCCTTACCTTGTTATTTTTAAATCCCTATTCACAGCTATTTAGTGTACTAAAGACCAAGGAAATACAAGGAGCTAATTAGAAGGAATGTAGGAGTAGACTGGTGAAGAGAAAAAGAATGGAAAAAAATACATTTGACACTTGTGTTTTTCATTGTAGCTTTTTCCACAACAGGTGAATAGGTAAATTAGTACTGTGGAATGATAAGAAAAGATACCTGGGAGTTCTGATTTTAGAGAAAAACAGAAAATTCAAAGACCTTACTTAGTCTTCTGGAAGAGAAGAGAATGGAAAAATTAATCTTAAAATAATGAATAATGCATAGCGGTGATTAAATTTCCAGTGTACTCTAGGAAAGTGACCAAACAGTTGTTAGCAATGCCCCACCCTTCTTTCAACTGGTAATAACATCAGTTTAACTGCAAGCATAGATGGGATGGAATTGTTTGACACCATTACAGAAAACATGACCAAGATTAACCACCTGACCATATTAGCATGTTTTTCCTGGTTTATATATACCTAAAAAGGTGAATAAAGTCATAAACTGTATTAAAATAGGGATTAACATAGAAGTGCCATTATAGTTAATGATACGTTCTCACCTTCGATATTGCATTCAGTTTTAGTCACCTAACTGCAAAAAAGGCAAAAAGATATGAGGAGGGTAACAAAACTAGCAGCTGGGGCAAGCAATTTAAAGATTAGGATTATTCTGTAGTTCTCTTACAAAGGAGATGAAAGATAAATGTAATGAGTTTCATCAAGAAAGTTAGTTTTATGGGTAAGCACTTGATTAACAAAGCCTACTCCTATAATGCAACCAGTTTAAAGCTGACAGAATTTTTTACATAACGTTATCAAGGGAACTCATTGCCAGTGAACAGATACAAATGGCTTAGTAAGAAAAATATTAAAATAATTCTACATTTATACAAATAAGAATGGCATCCCAATTGAACACAGGATAAATGTTAGAGGCTCACTTATGCTTCAGGGCACAAACTGGGATCAGAAAATTATCCCAAAGTGCAACATTGCAGAAATTAGACAGACACATTATGGCTATTTTATATGTTCCTGTCCAGCACTTCGTATTAGCCACTTCTGGGGATTGGAATTGTCATACCAGAACACAGTACTATTCTTAACTCAAGAAGGGGTCACTTCCATCACTGAATGATTGAGTGTTCATATACACAAGAAGAAAATAGCTGTTACAAGCCTCACACTATAGAAATATCCTTTTATTGTTCTAATGATTCAGTAAACAAAGCTTTAGAGAGCTGGAAAAGCAGAATTTTCTGCAGCCAAGATCTTGCTTCCCCTTTGGTCTATTAAGCCTGTCAGTTTCAGCAGATAGGCAAGGGGAAACTGTGCTTGGTACTCAACATCCAGTAATGCAAGTATGATTCAGGGTCACAGCTTGCTTACCTTCTATAGAAGGGGCCTGGTCCTGAGCTGCATACAGCATCTCCTTGAAAGCCTGCAGCAAACAGAAAAAATTAAACCAGTCAGCACAAAAGACTTAAGTCACTCTGATAAGCCTGTTTGAAAATGAGTAGCAGTTAAAGTCTAATTCCTCAAGACTGATATATAAAGCTATGGAATATGAGGTCACTGCAATTATACTTATTCCTGACAACAAAGGAAATACACAAACTACGTATTTACTGACAGCTTTGCCTAGAACCAGTTGCCTTGCTGTCTAAAAGACTACCCTGACAGCAGGTGTAAATATGCTCTTTTGGAAAAATATTTCCAATTAGGTAGGATAGGATTTTACTAGAGAGAAACCTGACAATACCAGAGATTTGGTGTGACATAACAGGGATCTGTCATGGCAAAGGAAGAAAGAGCCTCAGGGCCTGCTTATCAGTATTGTGAACTACTGAAAAATATACACTTTTATTTAAAAAGTGAAAACCACATGACAAAAGAAATCATCATATTTCCCTTTTAGTCTTCTCTTGAAGTGGAGACTAAAAGAGGAAAACATTAGTTCAGATGAGGATCGTTAACCAGCACTCCAGAACCATAGTGTCTCATGCTCCAGAATTCAAGGGATCAAATAGCTCAGGAAACCCAGTACACTATTTTTCTAGTACAGGAAGCAGTTTCACAAATCGAACTGGCAGAGGTCACACAGTTAAAGATATACTTTGGGCAATCCATTCAACTGCTACATGCACAACCTGGGTTCAAGAGTGGTATTCAAACATCCCAAAAACCTCATGTGTTCCAAGCCCAGCATGTCAGTTACAATCCTTTTTATATGATGATTTTCAGTTTGTTACTGAAGCAATACCAACAATTCAAGAATGGGTTTTATAGTCTACACTCCTGCTTACTACGCAAGTGCAAATAAGAAAGAAACAGGATGAATAATGGTGAAGCCTAGACTGGTCATGCTGGACCCAGAAACCGCAAGGGAGAAACAGCACCATTGCATATGTTAAGGCAAACAATGCCCACTATATAGCGTGCATGATGAATGTGAAAGTGGTAGAGATACAGTTGCTGTGCAAACCATAACTGAATTTTCAGATTTGTGAACCTATCAACATCTAAACCAGAGGTGGGCAAACTACGGCCCGCGGGCCACATCCAGCCTGCAGGACCAGGAGTCCTGCCCAGCTCCTGAGCTCCTGGCCGGGGAGGCTAGTCCCCCGGCCCCTCCCCCTTCCCCTCAGCGCAACACAAAGCCAGCCCTCTGGCTCACCGCTCCTGCCAGGCAGTGTGGCTGGCTCCAGCATAGTAAGGGGGCAGAGGGGTCCCAGGGGGCAGACAGGGAGCAGTGGGCAGTTGGATGGGGCAGAGGTTCGGGCGGGGGGGAGTCAGGGAACGGGGGTCGGGGGCTGGATAGGGCATGGAAGTCAAAGGGGCCTGTCAGGGGGCGGGGGTGTGGATAGGGGTCGGGGAAGTCAGGGGACAAGGGAGTTGGATGGGTCGGGCGTTCTGTGGGGGTCAATCAGGGGACAGGGAGCGGTTGGATGGGGCAGAGGTTTTGGGGGGCCATCAGGGGACGGGAATGCGGGGGTTGGATAGGCATGGGAGTCCCGGGGGTCTGTCAGGGGTGTGGATAGGGGTCGGGGCAGTCAGAGGATAGGGAGAAGGGAGGGCTGGATGGGGGTGGGGTCCCTGGGGGGCAGTTAGGGGCAGGGACCAGGCTGTTTGGGGTGGCACAGCCCTCCATACAGTTTCGGAACCCCGATGTGGCCCTCAGGCCAAAAAGTTTGCCCACCCCTGATCTAAACCATCATGTTTTAACAAGAATTACATTGTCTGGTTCCATTTTAGGATATTTAAAGTGTCCAGCCTGTCCTTTTTGGCTATTATCCTAATCCATCCTGAGAACATGTTCTACAAACCTATTTCCTGCAACCAACAAGATACAAACCCCAATCCTTGAGCCGCATGCCAATTCTCCAAGATCAAGACACTGCAGCATAATTAGCAAATAGTAGTCAAGGAAAAAAGCAATCTGAGCAATAAGAGAGAAAATCAGAAGAACTGTGGTAACGGTGGTCATAATCTTGCAAAGTAAATACAAGGTCTAAAGGACACATCTTTATTTCAGGATACCACAAATGTCAAGTTAAACAGACAGTTTTAGCCATCTCCCAAAGGTCTGATTCCTGAATCCACACAGAGGTCTCAGCATGGGTCACTTGAATAACTGTGTTTTCCTTCTTAAGACATTGTTTACTCATCTTCTCCATGCCAGTCAACCTTCCCCCTCCACTGTTTTCTTTTTTAAACATTCCCAGGAAATACTTGGCATTTGAATCTGCTTCTCCACATGACTTGCTAGTTAGTTGCATATGACCTAAGTTCCACAGTCTATCAAGTGGCAAAAGTGTTCTTGTTTTTCCTCCTATTAATCTTTGCCTAGCTATAACTTTTTCCATGCACTAAAACATTCACACAGCCCATGAGAAATATAAAGTACAAGAAAAAAGGCTAGTTGAAATCTCCTTCTATAACAGGGGTGAGCAAACTTTTTGGCCCGAGGGCCACATCAGGGTTCCGAAACTGTATGGAGGGCCAGGTACGGAAGGCTGTGCCTCCCCAAACATCTTGACCCCCACCCCAACCCACCCCCTCACACTTCCTGCCCCGACTGCCCCCCTCAGAACCCCCGACCCACCTGACCCCCCCTGCTCCTTGTCCCCTGACCGCCCCCTCCCAGGACCCCCCACCCCTAACCGTAATGAGTAATGAAACAAATGTAAACCAAATAATCCTTGCAAAAGCAATATTAAATCTTCTCTAATAATCCAGGTGGGGGGGAGGGTGCAGCATTACAGATTAATAAAAGGAGCCCCTACTGTAATGCGTTACCTAGGGAGGTGGTAGAATCTCCTTCCTTAGAGGGTTTTTAAGGTCAGGCTTGACAAAGCCCTGGCTGGGATGATTTAACTGGGAATTGGTCCTGCTTCGAGCAGGGGGTTGGACTAGATGACCTTCTGGGGTCCCTTCCAACCCTTATATTCTATGATTCTATGTATCTTTTCTCTTAGGCCTTGTCTACACAAGAGAATTTTACCAATAAAATTCAATCAGTTTAGAAGTTCATGAAGTTAAACCAGTGCAAGCCCGTTTTGTGTACAGTCAAGTCTGTCTGCATGCCTTATTACGATTTAGCTTGAGTTGATTCCTACCAATTTAAGCTCACGCAATAAAAGACACAAACCCTTTGAAATCTAGACATCTTTACTTTTTTCTTCCTGAGCAAATTAAATTGAGGCCCCAGAAAACTAAGTTGGATAGGAAAGGACGGTGACGACTAAAAACTACTAACCTCTAAAGGAGGTAATCTTTTTACAGTCACTTTACAACTGAATAAGGTGAAATCTTATTCACCTTATTCAGTTGTAGTGCTACTCTGCATGGCTCTGTCTACAGGGTACTGTTTCACATAAATCAGTGGTTCTCAACCTATTTACCACTGTGGGCCACATATGCAGCTCTCTGTGTGTTATGTGAGCCACAACCGCACAATATATTTACTACCTGTACGGCCCTGAGCCTGTCACGTGGTCTGCAGCCGTGTGCTAATTGGGCCGCAAGTGGCCCATGGGCTGAGAACCACTGACAGATCAAAAGTGACCCTGGAGGGGAAGCAACTCATGTCACTCAAACTTGTTGATTAAACCATACTGTTGGACTTCAAGTGGATTTGTTAGAAATAGAATAAAGGGAGTCACGTCTAGCATACTACTGGAAGGAGTGCATCCATGATGCAAAGCCTTACAAGGGAAGATGTGAAGTGGGGAAAACTAAAATGCTCCTCGGGTCTGTAAGAGGAACCAAGAATGAAGAGTGCTTATATTCTTATTTGTTCAAGGAAGTCTAAATCCCTTTCTTGAGCTAGCTTGGATCCCATCTGGGCTCAACTAGCTTTCACACTGCTAAGTATAAGGGGGATTTTTGGAAGTGAAAGGTTAAATTGATTTAGCATTAATAACTTAGCCCAAAATTCTCGGGCAAGTTGCACTCATCATAAAGCTCAAAAGAGCATGAGGCTGGAAAATGCAGAATTTCTTTAAAATCTGTGAGACAAAGGTGTTCTAAAGGAATTTTAAAATCTGTAACATGTACGTATTTTCTATATCCATAGTTTCAAGATTAACCTCTAGAAAATATGCAGTGCAGTGAAAGATTTTAGATTATCAGCCTTGAAAACTGGGGGGGTACCAATTGTCAGTGGTACTGAACTGAAATACGTAAAAACTGGAAGCTGCATAGCAGCAGATTCAGTCACTGTTCACCTGGCCTATATAATTAAACAGATCTAGAAGTGAAAGGCTCAATGCCCCTTTACCAATCACCTGAGCCACCCCATGCCAAGATTACAAACAGGGGTTTTCTTAAAATCAACTGAGGGGTGTTTGATTTTTTTTAAACTTATCCTTGTTATGTCTAACACCTAAAATTACTAGAACAAAGGTTTGTTTTTTTTTATACTTTGTGTTATTGACAGCAATTTTTATCTGCAGTCAGCTTACCCCATTTGGATCTCACACAAAGAAGAAAGAAAATCCTTTACAAAATAGGAAAAATAAGACAACAAAGCCAAAACTGACAGATTCAGAGGCAGGAGCTCAAATTAAAGTAAGTTTACTACACGCTTTTTTAAACTGACTAGATTTCAAATTATAACGTTCCTTAAGCATGTACATGGACAATCTAGAGCAGTGGTTCTCAACCTCTCTTTATCCAGAGATCCTTAAACTTAAACAGACAAATCTGCGGACCCCCAACCAGAGATGATGTGGGGGGAGGGGGTCACATCACATCCCCCTCCCAGATTTCTTGCCTTCCATGTGGCCCTGTTCTTTGAAGGGCTGAGGTAGCAGGGCACAGCAGTAGTGTATCTCCTTGGCTAGTTGCTGCCTGCTCATGGAGTCAATGGCTGAGAGCAAGCCCCTTCTGATGGCAGGGGGAGATCTCTCTTCTGCATGAGACTGCAATTTTTGGCTG